GGGGGGGGGGATGCGCCAGCAAATCGGGCAAGGGAGCAGTCCCCTTCCTTCCCCCAGGAAGGGAGGAGGTAGAGCAAATGCGTCGCCTTCTCGTTCCCTCGCAGAGGTCTCAACTGGTGGCGACTCCCTGGGGCCATCTGAGCAGGAGGCAGCCCAACATGGCGGACGGGTCCAGAGACGGCTGGTTGTTTGGGTGGGTGGATGTGTGGGTGTGGAAAGCGCGAGATCGAGGGAGAGGGCGCGTGCGGAGGAAGGAAAGAATGGAGGCGTGGGAGGAGACAAGGGTGGGGGGGAGAGAGAGAGAGAAAGAAGGAGAAGATACGTGGAGGGAGAAAAAAACAAGCAAGAGGGGGCTGGGGATTTCTTCCGTGGTGGTGGGCGTCGCCCTGGTCCGCAGTGGGGAACGAGAGAGTGTTTTATAGGCGGCCGAGCAACAGCATTGCCTGGTCACGGGTGGTCCCGTGAACGTAAATCACAAGACCATACGTCACTGTCCTCTCTCTGTTGCGTCGTTCTCTCTGCGCCCGCGCCCTTGTGTCCTTCTTGATCTTCTTCTGGTGCATCATCCTCGGCCCTTTCGCGGGAGGGGGCGAGCGGCAGTGCTGGGTCCACAGGAGACATGCTTGAGGGGTCTCTCTCTAACCATTCTGGCTGGTTCGATTTCTTGGCGGCGATCTCCCCTGTCACCCGGCGTGTCCCCTGGGGCTTTGTCTAGTCAGGTGTGGCCCTGCCGCGCCCCTCGCCCTGACCCCCCCCCCCTTCGGCCGTTGGTCTGGCTATACGGCACCAGGGCACTGATGCCGGGGGCACAGTTAGCGTCTCTTTCGCCCCTATCTCCCCTGTCGTGGCATGTTGTTTGCCTCCGATGGGATGCGGTGCCCGTAGGCACACTCTGCTGAGGAGACACACCTCATGCATCGCTCCGATCTAACCTTCTATCGGCACTGAGGGACCTTTTTCCGTCGCCAGTGGCTCGGCCGATCGCCCACGAGCCGGGTAGGCCCTCTCCATTTCCATCCCTCTCCCTCTCTTCCCCCCTTTCACCTCGTGTTTATCCGCCCCCCCCCCTCTCTCTTTACCTTCATCAACTGCTCGCACTAGGCATCCATTTGTTTGGAGCACGCTCGCATCTTTCCCCACGAACACACAATGGCCGCTCCCGTGGACACTTCCAAGCTTCAGGCCAGCTACGCTGCGTTGCAGAGCGCCTTCAACGCTGGTGCCATTGATGCCGCGGTCGCTCCCCTGACCGAACTTCGGGTTCGTTCTCGATGCCTTTTTGCTCCCCTTGCCCTGTCTCCACCTGGCACACTGACCTTTGTGTTTGAATGCCCGACAGGTGGCCCTGGCCCCGATTGTCATGGGGCTTGCCCATCGTGACACCCCCTCGCTGATCATGGCCCGTGCGTCTTGCCACCATAGCCGGACTGTTCATTGCCTCGCCTCAACATCCATCCACCTTTTTGACTCATACCTTCCCCTCGGCTCCTGCTGTCCGGCCGTTTAGGTGATGTCTGGGAGATGGCCGCGCTGCTGGCGGCCCGGTCTTCGGACTTCGCCACTTTCGAGCGTCTCTTCTTCCAGGTTTCCACGCTCTACCCCCGCTGCGGGTGCGATACACTCCCCATGCACGGAGTCTGATCTTATCAGCAAACTAACATCTTCTTCACGACATGGTCTCTCTCCCTCCCTCTCCCTCCCTCTCCTTCACCTTTGGCCTCGTTCTTAGGACTTCGCCAGCTTCCAACCGCCAAGGCCACTTGCTGGCCCTGCACCTGCTTTTCCTGCTGACGGAGAACCGGATGGCCGATTTCCATGCGGCTCTGGCCCGTCTCGACAAGCCGGAGAAGACCCCGACCGATGTCCATATGTCGGCCGTCGATTCTAGCCAGCACATTGGTGGATCGACTCTCTCCGCCGAGGCCGATTCCGATCTGATTGCCGACTACGGTCCGGAGGTGGGCTACGTTGCCCAGCTGGAGCGCTGGCTATCGGGTGGAGCATACAACAAGGTGCGCACCCAATCATTTCCAATGATATCTTGCTGCATGCGCACCCCCTGTCGCGGATCCCTGTGCATGAATGCCCACCCATGTGCCAAGTTCCCGTTCTTGGTGTCTGACCGATTGCTCGTCCCCCCCCCCCCCCCCCTTTCTCTCTCTCTTCTGCCTTTTGCTGGTGCCCTGCGCGCAGGTTCTTAAGGAGGTCAGTTCCAACCAGAGCAGCGACGCTGCCGGCCTGTTCACCGTTCTCTCCAACACTGTTCGGTATGTGTCACTCAATATGCCACCACCAGGCGCTGGGGCTCTTTTCCTCTAACACCATCTTCACGCACAGTGCCGAGATTGCCACCGGTATCGAAACCGCGTATGCACCTCTCAAGATTGATGCCGCCGGTCGTCTCCTGCAGCTTCATTCCAAGGCAGACCTTGACCAGTTCGCCTCTCAGGTGTGTATTCATTTCCTGTGCTCCCGATGATGCCTGTGTTTCTTGCCTCCTTCCCTCTCTCGCCCCCCTCCCCCCGCGCCCCTCTTCTCACCTGTTCCCCTCTTCCTCCTTGTGCCTTTGACAGCGCGGCTGGCGTGTGTCCCCCTGTGGGCAGAAGTACTGCTTCCCCGAGGCGGTGGCCTCTTGCAGCACGATGGCGAGCCAGAACTTCGGCGCCTCCAAGTCCTCCCTCATTGGTGATGTGATGCAGGTGGATTCCGACAATGCCAAGGACTCCGACCAGCAGTCCCAGGGTGGTTTGTTCGGCCCCAGCGCTGATCTGCTCTTCGCTACCCTGGCCTATGCTCAGGAGCTGGATCAGATTGTGTAGGCGTCTTTTCTCGCCGCCCTGACCCGCCGGAGCGCACCCCTTTGGCCGTTTCTCATGTGCGCGCAAGGTCACTTTCCTACTTCAAAATGTACACTATGCCCCTTTCTTGAGCATTCTTCCATCAGGCGTGTGTGTGTGTGTGTGTGTGTGTGTTCGGAGAGGGCAGAGAGGGGACAGAGAGCGATAGTAGATAGAGATAACCAATGAGGTGACTTTGGCAGATGGATAAGGGCATTAGCCCTCGGGGGAAGGCTAAGCAAGGTCTATTCCAAAGAAGAGAGGAGGGATATGCCCACACCTCGGCCAGTCGAGCAAATGAGGGCTCGGGAATCTACATGAGAGGGGCTAGGCATATGGAGGAGGGAAACTCAAGGACAGAGTGCGAGCACACGCGGGCAACGCAATAGGATGTAAACAAGGGCAAGGTACGGCATGGCAAGGGCCAGGAGTGAGGAGGGGGTAGAGGGGAGGGGGAGAGATGGCCGGGAAATAGGGGAACGGAAATGCATGTGTGCAGGGCTGGCTCCCCCCGCCCCCGTCCTTTTCCCGCGACTCAGTCATCCCATTGAAGTTCGGTGCGCGGAGGAATCCGGGCCAGGATATTGGCGCGGAGCTGCAGTGGCCGGGACCGAGTTTTGGTGTAGCCAGTCCCCTGTTGGAGGTAGAGCTTGGCGAACTCCAGCAAATCCGGTGCCGCGGTCAGCGGGTTGAGATCGCCAAATTGGTAGGAGTACTTGCCGGGAGCCTCGAAGGCCACGGCATTCGAGCGGTAGCAGGTGCTCAAGCAGGGCGACTCAACAACACGCAGGCGTCGGAGGTCCGGCCCAAGGGCATCAATGGCAGCCTGCTGCTCCGGTGACAGGGGACCAGCATCGGTTCCTGATGAGGCGGAAGTGGCAGCACCGGTGGCAGATGCGTCCACTGCCTCCGAGGACAAATCCCCCACAGGGACGGTGCAGCTGGTGTCTCCACAGCCGCGAAGGCGCCGAAGTCGGGCATCACGATCAGCGATAAAGCGATCGCGCATGTCCTGCACATGGTTTAGCAAGCAACGACCGGTGGTAAAGGGCCGGGCTAGATCCTCAATGTCAGCCACTTGAGCGGTGTGGTTGGACATGTGCTGATTCACCGAGTACCGGCACTTGGTACAAACGTAGAGGATGGCCGTGGAATCGCGCTCGCGCTGGCGCTGGACCGCGTGCAAATCCTCTGAAGCCGAGACATTGGCTTGGCTGGTCGCAAGAAGGGCAGCTGCAGCTGCCGCACTTGTGGGACAGGCGACTGACGGAGCGGCCAAGTCTGTCGGAGTGAGGGCCGGGGCCGGGGCCGGAGCCGGGGCCGGAGCTGGAACCGGAGTCGGAGCCGGGACCGTCGCAGTGGGAGCCTGAGCGGCAGAGGCAGTGGCACTCGCTGAAATAGATGGGCGAGGCGTCAAGCTGCGTCGCATGGAGGAAGAACGCCGCCGCGAGCCCGGCTCGGAGGCAATGTCCACGCAAATCTCGTCGGGCTCAGCTGCTGGAACACTGACGGCCTGGGCAAGAGGAGATGGCTGATGGGGAACGGGAGCCGGGCCGGGGAGAGAGGCACCAGCAGAGCCGGGAGGCGTGGACCGGGCCATGTTGGGGATGCTGTCGGAGGAGATGACTCGCTCAATGTTGGCGCTGGCTACCACATGGGCAATCGATTGGACAACGATCTTCTCACCATGCTCCTTAACCTGAGTACGACTAGGAAAGGGAGGGGGGAGGAAGGGAGCGGATCAGAAACCGGAAACTCGGCGATGAAAGAGAAAGAGGCCAACTGAAAGGCTGCATACTAGTGGGCAACATACTGAAAGGTGTCATTATGCTGCACCGGATGACCATCATCATCGGCGGCGAGCGTGACAGGAGCCGTGCTGGAGGAGGCGAGGGTCGGGCTGGAGGCATCCAGCACAAGGTCCGAGGAAGTGACCACCGGCAGCGTGCGCTCTCGGACACGGAGCACTGGGTCGGATGGGAGCGACTCAAAGTGGGGAAGCACATCGGCCGGTCGAAGGGCCAGCACGGCGGTGGCAGCATCGGCCGCATTGGAGGCCAGCTGGAGTGATGACAGTGCTGGCGACAAGTTTGGGTCAAGTGCCGCGGCTTTGGCCTTCTTCTTTGCTTTGTCCTTCTGGGGGGGAGTATTCACCGAGACGTCGCCCAGCGCCGGAGCCAAGGAGTCGCCCAGTGCAGAGGTAGGCCCGGTCGAAGCGGCGACATTGGCAGCATCGGCTGAAGAGACCTCCGGAAGGGCCGAAGGAATTGGCGCCAGGGCGGGAGGCACGGCTGGATCCTCGGCGCCCGGGGTGGCCATGGCCATCGGGGATGCGGGAGTTCCATAGGCCTTTGGAGGCGAAGAGCAGAGCTGCAACTCCCTCTCATCGGCCACAATGTCGGCAATGGTGCGCGCTGAATGCATGGTCCAAAGGCCGATAAGCATGAAGGACACCTGCCGAGGAAGGAGGATGTAGAGCAGGGCGGCCATGACAACATAGACAAAAAAGTGGGCCTTTGCCGCCATGGGGAAAGGTGTGGCCATGGAGCTAGGGACCGGCCCAGGTTCCCGAGAGCCAATTGTTGCAGAGGACATTGGTATGGTCGAAGGTGGGGATGGGAAATGGGTAGGGAGAGAGAGCAGGCAAGGAGAGGGGAGGGGAGGGAGGACGCGCGGAGGGTCTTGCCCGAGTGTGGATCTGTGTGTGTGTGTGTGTGTGTTGGTGTGAAGATCAGAGAGCGGAGGGAGGGAGGTCCTGCCTGTGCTATGAGGACATTGGATGCTGCTGGCGAGAAATCGCGCAGGGCTTCCGAGCGCCAGGGGAGGGGCAAAGTTAGCTTCCAAGGCCGAGGTATCCCTCTCAGGCGCATGATGGCGAAAGGTGGAGTGTCGCGTACGTGGGGAAAAAAAAGCCGAGGAAAGGGCAAGTAGGAGGAGAGGAAGCAAGGGACAAGACTCACTTTGTGGCCGTATCGCGTGCTAGGTGAGGTGGGGCTGGGCTAGGTGGAGGGAGGAGGCTTGGGGAGGATGGAGGAGGGCAATGGCAAAGTGAGTAGGGGGTTGGTTGCGGCGGG